TCCATCCATCCATCCATCTATCTATCTATTCCTCCATTTATCCATCCATTCGTACATGTTTTCACTCATGTCTAATCAACACATATAAAACAACATTACTGTTAGTATTTATAAACAATTTAGTTTGTGAAAAACCATTTTTACTTTTAGATTAACACTTTGATGTTACATTTTATACGATTGCCTCTCAGCTTGTAGGGCCATCAATGCTGCCAACTTTGAACAGCAATTCATCAGGTGATGTTGTAGTGATGGAGCGCATAACTAGACACCTTGGAACACTTCAGAGGTAATGATTTTGAACAAGTCTGTAATTCTTCATAATTTGAGTAACGAATAACAAAGCACTTTATGGCAGGCATGGCTTTAAATCGCTTGCCTTTAACCAATACGTGACTTGAAGTTGTGAAAGGCCCATTGGCATTCTTCTTCAGTGGTTTCATACAAGGCTCATGATTTACCTATTACACTTGTTCTCACCAATAAGATATCAACCAGGATGGATTTCCAAATTTGGTGTTGTATTTGAGTCTATTTGTTAAGACTACTAAGTCCTGATTAGCCTTATAAGAGTCATAGATAGATCTCTTATTCACATCATCTTAAATCCAAATAGTTTTGTTTTTCCTTTTAATTCCAAGTTGTTTTGACCATTCCTTTTCTCTTTTCTCAAAGAGGTGATATTACAATTGCAAGATCTCCACAAGATCCCAATTCTCTGATTTGTAAGAGGATAGCAGCCATGGTAAGTGAATAAGTTTCTAATTAGTCAACAAAATCTGAGATGAATCTGAAACTGAAATGGTACATGGGAAATATGTCAATTAGGGGGCTGTTCACTTTTTATAGGTACAACGACAAAACACCCAAGAATATCCACACATGCATACTTCTTTCATCTTTGTATCAATTATTCATAGTTTTCTAAAATTATAATTTGTAATTCTTCTATAATAGTTCTATATTTTTGTAAATTAATGAATGTGTGTAACTAAGTACTGTAAGTCTAAAGTCTTACTCTTCCATGTTTTATCCATCATAGCAGTGATTACTTTATTCCCTTTTGGTACACTACATTTTTCTTAGGCTGGTGATATTGTTGAAACTGGACCAGAAGAAGAAGACTATATCAAAGTTAGTAAGTTATTTTATTTTCATCATGACGGCATCATTAATTTTTTCTACCATTACCAGAATGATTTTTTCAAAATCAAATTTCATTTTACTTCAATTGTATCGTCAAACTCTTTTTCCATGTTTTTTAGTAAAAAAAGCATTTCTGATGGTTTAGCTTGGTATGGTATTATTTACTATTAAATTATACAGCTTCTCATTAATCCCATATACTAGGTAACTGTCCAATTATTTTCTAAATTGGACAGGTCTTGTTGATATGGGATTTATTAGGCAGCTATATAATTATAGGTAATGGGATTTTATGCTTCCCAATCAAGACTCGAAAAATTCCTCTGACTGCCAAATTGGACTAGGGCTACGGCCTCATCCAATTTTGTCAGTCCTCAGAATTTTCCTCGTCCAATTATTTCTTAATTGGACAGCATGGAGTCCTATTACATATACTTATGACGTCAAAGGTTGGTCAAAATTAGTTCTGTACCGATGATTTTTACCGACGAACTTTAATCAGCCTCGAGGTTGTTTTGAGGTATAAATAAAATTTCAAACRCATTGAAGGTTGCAAAATATGTTTACCTCTCTCAAGGGGGCGGATGTCAATTGACCGTTTTCTCAAGGTTGCGTGCGCATCCAAATTTAAGAAATTTAAGGGCCACCATACCAGAACACGATTATTATCATGCATTGCTATGAATTTTTTTACAGTAAGAATTTATAAAATAGATTATTCTCCTCTTTAAATATAAAACTGACTTCTCAATATTTACTGAATTTGCATTTTTTAGTTTTGTGGCCCGTCAAGATTGGATGCGCATGCAACCTTGAGAATGATCTATTGGGACTCTGTCCTGTTACCGCCAATGCTACTCTCTTTTTTTTTCGTTCTTGTGCTGGGTTGATTTTTAATTTTTATTAGGCGTAATGTGTGTATTCATTTCTTTTTCTATTTGTTTACTTAGTTTTCTGGTGACGAAATCAATAAAATGAAATAAATGTTTACCTCTGCAGGTTCCAAAGGGACACTTATGGTTGCTAGGCGACAATGCTGAAGATTCAACAGACTCTAGAGACTATGGTTCTGTACCATACGGCCTTGTAAAAGGAAGGGTTTGTTTTAAGGTACAGTACATGTAAATGTTAATATGTGCCGCACCATGCTTAGAGAAGCACAGGTTACGTGCTGCTAATGGTTGACTCCACCTTGGTAAAATTTAACGAAAGGCTTGTCAATGAATTATTTTGTTATATCGACCAACATGGCCACCATTCTTTTGTTATTTTACCAAGGCATAATTTATATCAAAAGACAGAGATTTGAGCAAAAATATATAAAAAAATTTAAAGCATAAATATCTTATTTTATATACTTTTATTCATTTTCAGCTTTGGCCACTCTCAGAATTTGGAAGAATTGAAAGCCCTAAAAAAACCTCAGGAGTTCAGAATGGCTAATGTTAATGGTCCATTGCTCTCAGTAAAGAAACAAAGAGGAAAAGCTTCAAATTTGTAGAATTTATTGGAAATCCATGAAAAGGACAATAATGGAAAGACAGTCATTACACTTACTAGTCTTGTGTATCTAGGGTTGACCTTCTCAGTCGTGGGACCAACACAAGATGTGTAGGGTGACATGTCTACTAACATCCTACTGACAACCCATCATTATGCTACCAACATTCTACCGATTATGGGACCACATACTATAACGATATAGAACTTTGGACATTCCCTTACAAAATAATGATCAAGCTAGTAATAGAAAATTAAAGTTATTTTACAGGGCCTGGTTGTATGAAGGGTGGATAGTACTATCTGACAGATAAATCCATATCCAGTGTATAAGTCCATTCTGTTATCCAATAAATTTATCAACTGGGTAAGATTTATCCATTGGATAGTGCTTTCCACCCTTCCTACAACCAGGCCCAGTACTATATTCTTCACAAAGAGGGCACAGGTTATTATTTGGTAGTGATAAACCCAGAAGAAAAGATCAAATTACAAGTTAAAAACCTTTATTAGAATAACAAAAGTTACACTACTTCATGCAAGAGTTGCATACTGTCTGTTATTATATTATAATTAAAACAATAATTTTATTTATGATTATTAATCATAACATTATTACTGTGCGAATACACCAACCAAGGCCACCCAGACAAGTTTTCATACAATTATTAGCCAATCATGATTGAGTATTCAAACAATAGAATCTGTACAAATGTTCATCTTTCCTTTCAAAAGCATATATTTTACTTTATACAAGTGTGTGTATGATCAGGAGTGAACAAGAAACAGTCTAAAATCCAGAATCATCAATTCATTGGATTATTCGATATCAAGAATGTGATTTGTGAATTTGATTCAAAATTTGTTTGGGTGGCCTTGGTTGATGTAGTCGCACTGAAATGATAGTATGTCATAACAGGATCATAAAGGAAATGAAAATACTAGATAATAATTACTGAGACAACCGAACTGGGATTACTCCAGATGTAAGCCAATCATAAGTAGGTAGCGTAAAAATAAAGCATTCTAACGTAAACCAATCAGAAGCTAGCAATGGAGAAATTCTTATTAAATATCTCACAAATATTTTAGAAGTTATCAAGCATGTGAGGTGAAATAATTAATGCTAGTAATACTTCAGTTTTGAATTTTCTGTTGTACAGGGTCAGTCTCAATTTCCTATGGAATTAGTATAGGTAATAGGACTACATGCTGTCCAATTTGGAAATAATTGGATGAAAAAAATTCAGAGGACTGACAAAATTGGAAGAGGCCGATAGGCCAAGTCAAATTTCATGGCAGTCAGAAAAATTTTGAATTCAATTTTTTGAATTCAATTATTTCCAAATTGGACAGACATGTAGTCCTATTGCAGATTAATTATATCATCCCAAACTATACTAGGTTGATTCCATAAGTCATAGTTTTCCCTTGAAAGAATGCGAATGGAAACGAAAGAGAATTTGAAAATAACAAAATAGTTGCTTATATGGGATTATAAAGTGATGATACAATTATTTTGAATGTTCGAGTCAAGATCCATGTAACTTTGAAATGTTTGTATGGTTGAAGTTGTGCATTCTTTACTTTACCATTGGTATTTGTGAACGTTTAGACACTGATACAAGGATAGCCCTGAGTAAATGAGTCTGTAATCAAGGAACACAGTGGTATTTTACTAATTTGAATTATTGTGCTCTCCCCTGATTGGCTCCAGTTAGTTTTACATCCTGATTTGAATAAAGAATAGTCTCAGTTAAGTGCTGGCAAAATGAAATAAAAAGGATATAAACTGAAAATCCTACAACTGTAAAAAATACAGAATTAAAATTAACATATTAAAGGATTAGATGAGTCAGTTTCTTGAGACAGATGCCGCATTTATTTAAAATTTTCTATTAAAAGTAACCTATACATGAATAGGCCTTTTCTTAGATTGATAAACAGGATGCATTGTGGTCTATCTTGGGTACAAACAACACCATATAAGGTATGATAAACAAAAGATGTTTGTACCCAAGCCAGACCACAATGCACCATGTTCTCTATCTCAGAAAATGACTATGAATTTACTACATTTACAATAGGTGATGTCTTGTCAGTAAAGATGATCTTGACACCTGAAAATGTACAAAAGATTAGGTTAATATAAAACATTTCAGGGTTTGATCTGTGAGTTAGCCGTGACCTGACTTAGATCAGCCCAGAGGTTGTTTCAGGGTTTGATCTGTGAGTTAGCCCTGCCCTGACGTAGATCAACCCAGAGGTTGATTCAGGGTTCGATCTGTGAGTTAGCCGTGCCCTGACTTAGATCAACCCAGAGGTTGTTTCAGGGTTCAAACTGTGAGTTAGCCGTGCCATGACTGATCAGCCCAGAGGTTGTTTCAGGGTTCGATCTGTGAGTTAGCTGTGACCTGATGTAGATCAACTGAGAGGTTGTTTCAGGGTTTGATCTGTGAGTTAGCCATGGCATGACTTAGATCAGCCCAGAGATTGTTTCAGTGTTTGATCTGTGAGTTAGCCATGGCATGACTTAGATCAGCCCAGAGGTTGTTTCAGGGTTTGATCTGTGAGTTAGCCATGCCATGACTTAGATCAGCCCAGAGGTTGTTTCAGGGTTTGNCATGACTTAGATCAGCCCAGAGGTTGTTTCAGGGTTTGATCTGTGAGTTAGCCATGCCATGACTTAGATCAGCCCAGAGGTTGTTTCAGGGTTTGATCTGTTAGTTAGCCATGCCATGACTTAGATCAGCCCAGAGGTTGTTTCAGGGTTTGATCTGTTAGTTAGCCATGCCATGACTTAGCTCAGATAAGAGTTTGTTTCAGGGTTTGATCCCTGAGTTAGCCTTGCCATAGATCAGCCAAGAGGTTGATTCAGAGTTCATTCTGTGAGTTAGCCATGTCATGACTTTGATCAGTGCAGAGGTAGTTTCAGGGTTCGATCTGTGAGTTAGCCATGTTCTGACTTTGATCAGCCCAGAGGTTGTTTTATGGTTTATCGACTGAATTTGAAGTTTAAAGGAACAATATTCTTGCTTCCAGGCCACAGTTTTGGAAGAAATGCCCCCTTTCCCTGAGAGGGAGTCATCGATCCTTGCCAAACTCAAAATAGCCGTAACTGATAGTGCTTTTAGTGTTTGCACTCTAACACGATTGTAATGGTATATTAACGTTTTGCTTTTTGTAGGAATCATGGCTGGATTTTTTGATGAAGATTCTCCTCATGGAAAAGTCAAACGAGTCATGTGGTTCAAATACCTTTTTTTTTTCTTTTTCCTTTTTTTTTTAAATCAGTGCAGAGTTTACATATTTCAGGGCTTGAGTAAATTAATCCTAAGGGATAGACATAATGAAAAGACAACACTATCAAGTTACCATTCCTACTTGTATTTATCGCTTTTTTGATCCACGCTGACTGTTAAATCTAGCTTCCATTTCTTCCAGTACTACACAAGTAAAACACAACAATTATTAGAGATAAAACTAACTTGATTTTTGAAATAATACTGGATGAATATTTTTCAGAAGGATAAATTTCTCATACTCAGAGGACAAGGCAGATTTTTTATCTTTTTGGCTTGACGAAGAAGAAGACAATGATGAAAAAATGTTGCCAAAAATATAAAGTCATGGAATTTTGGAAATTGAAAGTTACAGTACTGATGGTGATCTTAGAATGTTTGTGTGATTAATTTCGGAAGATAACAGACAGGTGACTTTCTTAATAAAAGAGACTGAGAAGAAGTAGAAAAAAGAGAGAGAACAAAACAAAAGGAGAAGAAGGAGGAGGAGGAGGAGAGAGAATGAAACAATGATACACAAGAAGAAGAAGAAGAAGAGAGAACAAAACAAAAGAGGAAGAGAGAATGAAACAGAATGATACAGAAGAAGAAGAAGAAGAAAGAGAATGAAACAGAGTGAAACAAAAGAAGAAGAAAAAAGAGAGAGAATGAAACAGAACGAAACAGAAGGAGGAGGAGGAGGAGATGAAGGAGAAGAAGAGGAATCAAGATAAACACTGGACTTACATTTTGGAGTATACTTGACAACCAACCGTACTTGGCCTAAAAGAAAAATATTATTAAATGTATTACTTCATGTACTAAATTTCATTATTTTATTATCTACATGTATAAGTATAATATACATGTACATCTTTCATTTTCATATTTCCAGGAACTACTTGTATACAATCTCACATTGCCATTATTATAAACATACATTAAAACTATCATGATCTTGGACATAGGGTTCTTGCTACATCTTCAACACAACTTTGCTATTTTCAAGGGCTTTTCAAGTGCACTTAAAAAAGGTTTTGAATTCCAGGGCTTTTCAAGTATTTCAAGAACTAGCACAAACCCTGTCGACATAATCATTTGGTGTACCTTGGGCTGCCTTCAGCAAATCAACAGCTCGTTCGTGGTTCTCACCCTCTACGCTCTAAAATCAGGAAAAAAAATCATTTTTATTTGTATAAGAAATCGCACGAACTCAAGTACAATTCGGAATTTATAGGTATGAGTGATGTTTTGAAATTTTTCAAAATTGGACGAGCCTTTAGGCCACTTCAATTTAAGGACTTTCAAAACATCACGAGTATCTATAAAGTCTGAATTTTATGAGAAGATTGTGTGATTTTTTGTGTATAATACACTCAATAAAATTGAGCAACTTAATTGGAACTCAACAGAGTACAATTTGGGATTTAATTGTACTCCTCTTGTCCAATCAGAATYGAGTAATTTTGTTGAGTGTATTATAATCTATGACAATTGATTAATAGCAAGATAATGTTGAAGCACAGATTATTACCATATCATTAATTATCTTTACTTTGGGGAGGGGTAAATAAGCTTCATTTCAGTTTCCCAATACAAATGGTAGCCTTTTGAACCATAATGGAAAAATTGGACAAGAATTGAAAAAATAAAATTATCAACTTACAACACCATTTACAGACAAAAGCTGATCTCCTCTCTTCAGACCACCATGCCTAAGTGGTAGAAAAAGGTACAAATTAACTCAATGTAAAGTTACTGTAGCGAAAAAACCAGGTAAGATACCTCATAATAATAGGAGGTTTGAAAACTATATTATGTTATAATCAAAGATGAGAGTATGTGGGCCGCGTGGCACTAATGAATAGAATATTTCATTAGTGCCACGCGGCCCACATACTCTCATCTTTGCATCATAATTACCGCGACCTAACATCTATTTCGCCCCGGCCTGCTCTCAGTCTG